TTGGTAGAGGTACAACTAACCTAATAAGTTCTGTGTAGGTGGGAGAATAATCTATGTAAAAATATTCATATATTTTACAAAATACATTATAAATTATATCATATATTTCGCAACAGTAGTAATGTAAGAAAAAGTAAGTTTTTGAAATTGGTGTATGTTCGAATATATGAAGTTCAGCAGTATGTGGAAACAGATAGCTTGTTTCATACATCGGTTCATTAAATTGATTGGGGCTCAATAATAAGGATGTTTGTGATAAAAATCTACTAATATATGCTGGATAATTCTCATAAAGTTCAGGTAAAAGAGATGAGATTATTTTGAGGATATTAATATTAGCTGGATCATCCTTGATTAATTTCATGCATTGCTTAAAAATTATATCAACAACTTCACTCTTGTTGTACGTGATCGCTGCTTTTAAAAAAGCTTGAGAGTGTAATAAAAAAAAAGAAGTATCATCTTTGATTAATTTTATATACTGCTTAAAAACCATATCAACAATTTCATTCTTACGGTGCGTGATTGCCTCTTTTAAAAGAGCTTTATAGTGTAATAAAAAAAAAGAATTATCCATAATATGATTTCTGATTAATTCAATTAATGAATATTTATCGTTACCAAAAAATCTATAGCGATCGAAATTAAAGATGCAACTAAAATACTTGTCGGAAAATATGGTTTCAAGAATGTTTTCTGATGCATCATTTTTCTTATCCAATTTCAAATTATCATTGGAAAAAAAGTATCTCATTTGCAATTTTCCATCTTTAGCAGTCACAACAAATGATAAATTTTGATAATAATTATAGTTATGATAGTGATCACATATCACGATTAAATCATCATTAGACAATAATATAAAAGCGCAAATCTTAAGATCGATAAAATCTGTTTTTTTCAGATTTGATTTTAAAACTGGTTGAGAGATATCATTGTTTCGAAACATCAATAGTTGATCAGAATATTTATAGTATTTCCATGAATTTTGATGTCCTATTAGTTCGATTACTTCATCATCAAGGTTATGATTGTTATCAACATTATTTATTTTTTCTAATATGTCCTCTATAATACTTTGAGAATGAATATTGCTTTGATCCTTAAGATCATTTCGTAGACGTTCAACAAGTTCACTCTGAAAAATTTCATGGATTTGAACCTGATTGGTGACAACTCTGATGATCTTGTCACTATATACACGTATTATTTTGGCATTAAATTCATCATCTAAAAAATGAATGTCAACCGGATTGTCCAATTTGAGCGAGTATGGATCTAGTAGATGAGCAACTATTTTAGATTGATCCTCAAAATTTGTAACTAATAAACGTTCACCAAAACGCTCATCCAGGCATACAAAATTAATATGCCAATTTTTATTATTTTCATCTTGATAATTTTCTTTATTATTTGAAATCATAATGCCAGTTTGAGTTGAAAAAGCTTCTAAACCATTATTCCATATAGCTAATACATTCTTATATTTATTAATTTTACAATTTTCCATTTCCAGTCCTTCATGTTTTCCAAATATTTCAAATTTAAACGTCGCAGTCTCCATATTCCACAAAAAATAAAATGTGCCATTATCTCCTCTTTTAGTAACTAACATCCATCCATTTCTAAGCAAGATGAAATTTAAATAAAAATTAGATCGTGTAAAAAAGTTATATACAGTATTGCATCGCAATCGTGTATTATTATTATGGGCAGAGTATAAATGGTACTTATATAAACCAAAAGAAGTCTTGTATAAGAGTATAAAGTTTCCATTGTAAAGAAAAGAACAATGAATATCAGTTATATATGGTTCACATATGTAATGTGGAATTTTTGTGTGTTGCCTTTCTTTAGTTTCGGTATCACCCAAGATTAAAATTTGTTGCCTTTCTTTCGTGTCATATATAACTAAACTATCTATTCAGTATTAATAAGTTTAAAAAATTAATACGATATAATATATAATGTTTGTTTTTTTTAGACTTTATCAGATTAAAAGAACGAGCATACATACCCGAAGCATAATAATTTTTGAAAACTAATACAATTAAACCATCATCTGACAATTCTACTAATTCATGTTTACCTAGTAAGTTGGTTATATCATGAGCCAGTAATCTTGAAATTGGTTTTAACTGTATTTCATTATGCCAAATAATGATAACTTTATTTTCTTTACTCATAGTTGCAATATATTTAAGATTCGGTGAACAAATCAATGTCGTTATTTCAGAATCATGTGTCCTTATATCATGCCCCACATCAATTATTATATCGTCATCTATCGTTTGTTCCATGTTAGATATTTCGATACAATAATGTAAACTTATTAGCCTTTTTATAATAATTCAAACAAAAGTCAGATAAAAAAGACAAGGAATGAAAATGGAAAATATGCATAAACATCTTGACATGCTAACGTATAGAGCCTCAAATTCAACAACATAAATATTTGTATATGGTCGTGCATCAATGATTTTATTCTCGCATTTGTGGCAGTGCCAAATTATCGATATCCACGTACATATTCAACTTTTTTAGGAGAATAAGATTAAACGAAACTACACAAATATTTATAAATAAAATATTACATCAGGAAATTGATTGTAGTCGATTAAAATCTGATGATTTTAATCGATTATTATCAACCCGCCATTACACGCGATAAAGATTTTTATTGATTATAATAAAACTAATTGATTATAACGATTTAATTTAATCGCTTTTAATAATAATCGACTATTATCGATTTTGATTTATTGCGGTTAGCAAAAATATGTGAAATTTGATAGTCAAGAAATCGATGATTTCTGATTCTGATTTCCGATTTTTTTAACATTTTTTTTTAGACTTTTAGATTAGACTTTAATATACATAAGATTTATAAAATATGTATAATAAACTCAAACTCAATATGGTTATTAAAAATATGTATATTAAAGTCTAATCTTAAAGCCTAATCTAAAAGTCTAAAAAAAAATGTTAAAAATAATCAGAAATCATCGATTTCTTGACCATCAAATTTCACATATTTTTGCTAACCGCAATAAATCGAAATCGATAATAGTAATAGTCGATTAAAAATAATCGATTATAATCGATTAACTGCTTGCAACCGATCATAATCAGGTTTTAAATTTTCCTGATGTAGTAGCAAGGTTATATAGGTATGATGAAGTTTTCTTGCAATAAATTTTAAATTTATATATACTGAAACTAACAACATAGACGTACATTATAATTGGCCAATGTAAAATTTATTCAAGGTTCTAAGAGCATTTCTCAATGAAATTTGCCATTAATTGATAAATTGTTTAAATTGTCTTTTTTTTTTTTGCTAAAAATTGGTGGTCCGAAATACTGATTTTAAAATTAATCTGTTAGAGGAACTCTATAAATATATATATATATATATCGCACGATTGTTATATATTACTTAACGATGATTTTACTACTTTGCTTTGGAGGATGTCTTGCGTTTGAGGATTTATACATCATTTTAATTTTATTAAGTAATTATTGCTTTGCCACGCTTACACTTTCATAAGACTATCCGAAACTGACCTATCTCGAAGTCTCATATCGTGTTTTGTGTTGATTTATGATCGGAACTTTTAAGGTATTATTCGAAATATAGTCAAAAAAATCTTAGTTTTCTGGACTAACTCGAAGCCAACCAGATCAACTCATTCGGGTACTAGCTCAGACTAAAAGAGTAAACTTGCAAAATTATTTTGTAGTAGCTTTCATAATAATACGTAATAATAATAATACACAGCCCTGCATAGTCCAAGCCATTAACAGATCGATGTTTATCTTATTTAACGACTCCATAAAAAATTTCACTTGTCCAATAGGATTTCAAGAACATGTAGATTAGATAGATCAGATAATTCATGGAGTAATGTTGATTTACATGTAATTGTTATCGTAGTTTATCTCTAAAATATGCATGTATGCCGGTTTTTTTCACATTGATCTAAAATTTTTGCAAAATGCAAGCATATCGATATACAGTAAGAAACTCATATTTTTACGGAAAATCACGGGTTATAACAACTATGCATTTCGAAAAGCATCGGTACGACTGGTCATTTAGTTGGATGAATGCCGGCTAGCCAAAGGTGCCGGAAATAAATTCAA